GGCAAAAGGCACTGCTTCATAGCCGGTCACCATACAGGCCTGCCACTTCATCTAGGGCAGTCTGTCCTGTCTTACCTGCCACAACTTGTTGAGATAAACCAGATGTTAAAAGCGGGAGGCTGCCTATTTTAATACCCTGATGCCAAGGGGTTTACACATGACTCTGACCTCCCATTATCAAGTTGCATGCCTCACTAAGTTGTTTATAGCACCAGTCTAGAACTGGGCTAACTCTGCCCCCTGTTGTGCCTCTAGTACTCTCTCTTGCACACTGCCCCCTCTCACAGGACCTCACTCTCTCCACCCCCTCTCTCAGGGCCTCTTTCATACTGCCCCTCACTGGGCCACTCTTACCCCACCCTACTCTGTGACACTGTAACCTTCAGGCTTGGCTACTCACTCTTTGGCCAGCCCACACATAGCCCTTCAGGTGCCACCATGCACCCTACTTTACATGGCCACTGGCCTTCCGCCCCACCCTGGGCTGACTCATTCGCTAGCTCCTTTCTGAGTCATATACTTCAGCTTCCCACCCCCCCTCACTGAGGCCTTGAGGCCTTACACCCCCTAGGCTCAGGTGCCTCCCTCTAGGCATGCCTGGCCCTACTCTGCCCTCTCACTCAGGCCTTGGAGTCCTACACCCCCTGGACTCAGGTGCCTCTCAGTAGGTGTGCCTGGTCCCACTGCCCTCCAGTCTTAGCCCACCAGATGGTGGGGGCTGGGGTTAGCAGGTGCCCCTACCCACCTTTCACTGGGGAGGTAACTGGCCTGGCATTTATGGGGAACTATCCCGCCACAGACAGCACCATCAAGACCCCGCTTCCCCAGCAGGGTGTGGTTTCTGGTCATGCCCAGGACCAGGAGCCTTCTGTCATCCCTGTAGCTCCTGCTCTTACCTTCAAGGTGTTCCTGAAGTCTGGAAAAGTGCAGGCTCAGGGGGGACCTGGTGGCCACCTATAAGTACACAAAGGGCATTCATCAGGGTCTGGGAGAATGTCTGTTCACCAGAGCGCCGCAAGGAAAAGCAAGGACCAATGGTCATAAACTCCTACAAAACCGTTTTAGGCTGGACATAAGAAAACATTTCTTTACTGTCCAAGCCCCCAAGGCCTGGAATAGAGTAGGCACCTACTCTGGAACTATTCAAGAAACGCTTGGATGCTTATTCTGCTGGGGTCCTTTGACCCTAGCTGACTTCCTGCCCATGGGGCAGGGGGCTAGACTTGATGATCTTCGAGGTGCCTTCCAGCCCTAATGTCTATGAAATCTATTAAATCTTTAGGGAACTGCCTGTGTATGATGGACTATGAATCTGGTATGCCAGGCAACCACAAGTAGAGGACTGAGGGCTGGCAGAGGAGTGGAACCAGTTTGGATGGTGATTGCCTTAGAGAGCCAACAGGCTTAGAGAATTGAGTTATGCAGCCAGATTTCTGAGAGTTTAGTTATAACCAGATGGCTTATGGTTTTTGTTTGAGTTTTTGACCAGTGGTTTCTGCAGGGCTGGATAAGGACAGTTTGGAAGTCCCATTAGTGGCCAATGGTGCGTGACTGCCTTGAGCCCTGCCAGGGGTCAGGCGCAAGGCACAGACAGGTGCCAGAGAGCCCAGAGTTGCCCTAGAGAGGCAGAAACAAGGCTAGAGAGTCCATGGTGTAGAAAGGTGAGAACAAGGGCCAGCGAGCTTGTAGCCATAGAGGGATGGAGATTGGGGCCAGGGGTCACACAGCCCAGAGGGGGGCAGAGTTTGGGGCTAGGGGGCTCAGAAGGGGTTGGAGATTTGGGGCCAGAAGGCCCATAAGCCTAAGAGGGGTGGCAACAGGGCTAGAGAGCACACAGCCTAGACAGGGATGGAGGTTGGGGCTAGAAGGCCCACAGCCCACGCAGGGCAGAGATAGGAGCCCAAGAGGGCAAGTTAAGGACTGGAACGCAAGGAGCCAGACCCAGTGTGGTGGATCTAGGCCAAAGGGACCAAACAGAGGAATGGGGCAGAAGCTGGGAAGGTTGAGGCCCCAACAAGGGAGTGGAGGCTAAAGGCAGCCTGGCAGTTGCTAATGAGTGAAAATACCTGCAAGGCATGGGCATGGCTATAAGGGAGGTTCAGAGGCTGTGATTAGTCCTTTTAAGGAATGAGCAGTGACACCAGTGCTCGTAAGGGGGATCTTGCTTAGGGCACTCTAGGACAGCCTCCCTTTTCTAAATGTATAATAACATCAAGACGTGGCAGGAGAGCTAAAGGAGAGATTGCTCAAAGGAGCCAAAGGGGACAAGGGCTGAGAGGGAGCTTTAGTGGTGTTATGGCCACCATTGAGATAGGACCATGTTACATTTCCCTTAACCTTTCTACTTTAATATACAAATAAAATAATGTATTCTTTATCTTAATTGATGTATTTCCACTCTGGGTTTTTGGAAGTAATTTTGTGGTTATTTGTTAATGGGAGTTTCGCTGAAACAAAACTGCAGGAATTACTTCTTTATGCCACTAGGTAGCACTGCTACTTTACTTACCATGTATGTCCAGTTATTTCATTTTCAGTCAAAACTGTAGCATATGGAAGTAACTTCAGATTTGCCATTGATAGCTATTACAACTGTTCTAATATCCAGATATAATCAGATGTAGTCATAACGTAAACCAAAATTCTAAGAACTCAGAGTAATTACACATATGTAACCAAATGTGATTATAATAGAACATGTGTTTTTATTTTTATAAAAATTACAAATATAATTACTTAGGGCTATTAGGGGAAAGAAGAAACAATCTCATGAGAGAATCTCAAAGCAGTTTGGCTTATTTAACTTGGAAAAATTAAGGCCAAGAGGAAACATGATCATTCTTTTAAAATGCATAGGATGAATAAATAGCAAGGACAGGGAAGAACAATTTAAATTAAAGACAGGCTCTGGTACAAGATAAAATGGGTATAAATTTAACATGACTAGTTTGGGACTGAAAAGTAGAAGAAGAGACCTAATCATCAGAGAAGTGGAGTTCTGGAATAGACTTCCAAACAAAGTAATATAGGAGCAAGCAACTTAATTTGTTTCAAGATGAGAGCTCTATATGTTCAGGAAAGGGATTATATGACAAGATAGGAGTGATCCTGCAATTCGTAACATAACACTTCAAGTTTTTGATTTGTAGATTTTCAAAAGAAAGAGTTGAAATGAGACTTGATTGCCATATGTCAGAGGCATATACAAAGCAGCCAGGTGCCCAGGGCAGCAGTATTCATGGAGGCAGCAGTGATTTCTGGCTGCCACTGTGCTGTTGGCACATTACTGAGTTGTGGAGAAGCTGACATTTTTCCAGCACCCCCCCTCAAAGTTGGCATGCAGAGTGGTTGTTCTGGTCACCCCAACCTGGTTATGCTATTGTCCTATGTAGTTGTTTGCATATGATAGAGGATTCTGGGGTTTGGACTTCTTGACCTTGCTGTGATACTGTTTAGCAAGATCCAGTGGCAAAAGTTAGAACCAGAACCAGAGTAATTGGTTATAAAGTGAAAGATAGTTTCCTAGTAGTTGGGGGGAGGTTGAGGATGGGAACAGTTTTTGCCATGAATATAGTAGGCTTTCTCAGAGCTTGGGGTCAATGATGTAAATTTTTCTTCAAGGACTGCCATAGTTTAGACTATCAGGAATTTTACCAAGTAAGGCAGGTTTAGCTGAGTAATTGTGATGACCCTTTCTGAACCAAATTCTTTCATCTTTTTTTTCTCTTTGCCCCAGCTCTGGTTACACAGTGTTCATATTAGAATTAATTAATTCCATGCTTTAGAGCTTCAGCTGATTTGATTTTAGGGGCCAGGAAGGATTTTTTGTTTTACTCACTGATTCATCATTTGGCTTCTGTTTTTGTTTGTTGTTTGTTTTACCTTTCTCTTAAGCATCAGAGATTGTTTGCATGCTCATGTCAAACAAATTACCAGATTTGGGGTCAGGAATTTTCCTTCAGGTCAGATTGGCAAAGACTGCATGCTTGCGTGTGTTTGGCCATATGCAGATATTCAGTTTCTACTGAGAGAGTCGCTGCTCTCCCAGTAGAAATCATTGTAAGTGTACAGACATTGAGGATTTTTCTTCAAGAGCAAACTGACTGCTCCAGGAGAAAAATAATCCAGGAACAACCAAGGTTAAATCACTCCTAGGAGAATGAACGTCAGTATGCATTCCTTTCTGAGAGAAGCCACAGCACAGTCCTCCAGCACCCCAGGGTACTTTGCTCTTGCCCTTCCTCCCACCCTCCCCTAGGGAGACTGTGTCACTCAGGATGGAATCTACTGCTCTAGGTGAGCCAGGAGCAGAACATGTCCCTTCACAATTCCTACACTGTGCTGCAGACACAGGCTGACACTATGCAGCCTGGGTCAGCCAATCAGGGCCACCTTGTGCACCACTGTCATCTGTCTCCAGGCAGACTGAGGGAGTCTGCAGAGCATGCGGAGCTGTGTGCACAGGGTCTCCCTGGGTACAGAGCATCAGCAGTGCAATCTCTTCTCCTCAGGGGCTCAGCATTTAAATGTCTGTTCATGGGTCTCCAGGTAAGTTTTTCTACCAGGAAAACAAACACTGGAGAAATCTTCCAGATCATTTGAACACGTGTGCGCAGCCTCTGCTTACTTGTATAGTTTGGGGATCACTTCCTAGGATAATGTAGAACATATTTAATCTAAATTCTTGCCATTGCAAGGCCCTAAAGCACTGGAGATTCTCTTCCTCTCTCCTCCTTTCTCCCTCTAGCATATTGTATTTTTGAGGTCTTTTGTATTAAAGCTTTGAGTTTGTTATATGTTGCTGAAAGTGTTTTTTGGCTGCGTGTTTGTGTGTGGTAGGGGGCAAAGTTGTTTTCTTGTGAACCTTCTGTGACTTAACATCATTTAAATGGTTGCCTTTATTTTGGGGGACTGAACTTGATGACCCACATGGCCCCTGCTGTTGCTATGTTTCTATAATTTACTATTTAAAAATTATTTGACTGATTATTTTTATGTAGGGGGGCTGGGTGCTACTTCAAAACTGTCATCTGGGGTTGGATTTCATGGAAGAACTACTGGAAACACTTCTAACTGCTGAGATACCTGATGAGAGCTTTCGAGTTTGGATAACCACTGAGCCACATCTAAAGTTCCCAATTACACTGCTACAGGTTTGTTCAAATGCTTAGTTCAGACACCTAATACGTTTAAAAATACATAGATAAAATTCTGTAAATGAACATGAAGTAACTGGGAAAACGGAAGTTGAAAGGAAAAAATACCATCCACTGTGAAAACTAAAGAGTGCTCCGAAGTCATATGTTAAATGTCTTTAATTAATGTATACCATAGCAGTAGTCCACTATATGCTTCTTTGACTTAGTTTATCAACTGCATATCAATGATATACTGTCACTGACTCTTTAGGACCTACCTGTATCTTTAGAAGTTGCAACATTTCATATCAAGCTCCTGTTTTATTTGGTGTAAATAAGTCTAATTCCTTTACCTTTTTTACATAACAGATTTCTATAAAGTTCACAAATGAACCCCCACAGGGTGTACGTGCAGGTTTGAAAAGAACATTTACAGGGATTAATCAAGACCTGCTAGATGTCAGCAATTTGCCTATGTGGAAACCTCTGCTTTATACTGTGGCTTTCCTACACTCCACTGTCCAGGTATGTCATATAAGTTTTGCATTCAAATTTAGATTATTTCACTGTGGCTTCTGTTAGAAAGTAGGCATTTTTACATCAATTGCTGTAAGGAAGTCTCATATTTTATCTCCCATGTGCTTCATGTTGTAAGATTGGGACTATATAGAAATAATCTAGATTATAGGTTTATTATTAACCTTACTGATTAAATCTCTTTTAAGTTAGCTTCAGATCTCATATTCTGAGGATCTATAACCCAGTATTATTTCCATCATCATCAATGGGAGTTTTCTCCACTGACTTCCATACAAACAAAATTAGGCTTGCATTTTGTAATTTAAACATATGGCAGTCATGTCATGAAAGTAATATGCACTTTCAACATTCTCCACTTTCTGCATTTAACTCCTTTTATGTAAGGAACTCAGAGCATTTCACAAATATTAAACCCCAAAGACTCTTTTGAGCTGCTGCTATTGTAGATGTAGCAAGGAATCCCAGTAGTGAACTGCCCCTATGGAGACAAACTTAATGCACATGTTTACTGATTATACCTCGTCCAGTTCATACAGATGTGGAGGAAGTGACTTGCATTGCATACTGCCTCATGGAGGCTTTGTATTCCTGAAGCTGAGGTATCCCAGATCTAATCAGCTATGAGGAAATTTTAGAAGTCCTATAGTTTCATAGATTATAGTTTCATAGATTTAGGGTCAGAAGAGACCTAGTAGATCTTCTAGCCCGACACCCCGCCAGGGCGGGAGAATAACAAAACCCCAAAACAAAAACGGGACTCAAATGAGTCCAGCCAGGTAGGCATCCAGCCTCTTCTTAAAGACCCCCAGGGTAGGGGCCAGCACCACTTCCCTTGGAAGTTGGTTCCAGCTCCTAGCCGCCCTAACTGTGGAGTTATAGTTATATGTCCATCCAGTAAAGGTATTTATAGAGGGTCAACCACTGTATTATATACACAATAGCCTGCATTTTAAGCTCACCACCTCTTGACATGCATTGTTGAAAAAGTTTTTATGAGCAGTGTGCTGTAGTCAGTAATTAAGGGAAATGTATGGAAGATCAGTGTATTTAACTTTAGGGTCTGAAGGCTTAATGGTGTTTAATTGACTTATGCAAGTGTATATTTGACTTGTTTCTATGCCCACTTGTTCATTGAGCTTAATAATTTATTTCACAATTTCAGTGATATCTATATACTAGTCCTTCATTTAATACAGGGCTGTCCAACGACTAGACAGCAGGGGGCCATATGCCACAGATCCCAGGGTCTTCTCTGCTATATAAACAGTGCAAACAGCCTAACTCCCCCATTTGCCACACTTGTAGCACAAGTGGTGCTAGCAGTGCTAGCAGCCTGGTCTTTTTGGTGGCGTGTGCAGCACAAGATGCCTGACTTCCTTGGTCATGCATACAGCATAAGCAGTGTAGCTTCCCTCCCAGCCACTCAGGCAGTGTGGGCAACCCAACCTCTCTCTTCCCATGCAAGCCACCTGGCTTTCCCCTGCTGTGCATGCAGTGCCCTCTCACTGCCTGAATCCCTGGAGGAGGGGCAAGAACCAGAAGATGGAAGAGGGAGGGGTAGCCCGGAGGCCACAGCAGCTGGAGTCATGGGGACAAGAGGCCAGGTGCTGCATGTTAAACAGTGACCTCTGCAACTGGAAACTGAAAGCCAAATTCTTTTCTTGTTTACATATTACAAATCTGTAACATTTCTAGTTTTGGGACAAAAGTTACACATAAACCAGTTTAAGTGATTGGAAACCAGTTTAAACCTGTAACAGAACAGAAGTTCAGCACACACAAACCAGTTTCAAAATGGCCAAACCCAACTTAAGATAAATCTGGATGGATATAGTATCAGACTTTACTGATTTAGGTTAAACTAGTTTATGGAACTCTTGTCCCAGATCCCCTCTGGGCTCAAGTTATCACACAGTCCCCCAGCATCCCAGGATGCTTTGCAGCTCTAGGCTGTGCTGTCTGCTTCAGCAGAGCAGGGTCAGCCCAGGCGCCAGCTGTCACAGAGCTGAGGCAGTAAAACCTATGTTCCCTAGCCTGCTTCCTGCCTGCACCTGTCAGCCCCGTGGGACAGGGGCAGAGGAACAGACCACTATGCCCCCCGAGCCTGGGCTTGCACAGTGCGGGGGTAGGGAAAGCCCCCACAGTGGTGGGCGTTTCATCCCCCCACAGCCAGTGAGCCAGGCTGGGATTATGCCAGACTTCCCCCCACACCAGTCGACCACCCCTTTGAGACTCGGGGGAAGAGGGGAGATGACAAACACCCCCAGCCCAACACAAGCCCCACTGCCCACTGAGAGGTGGGGGGGCAGCCCCCTAGCCTGGCACTGACCCCCCCGCCCAGCAGGAGTCTGCTTCGGGAACCCCCATAAGGGGGCTTTTCCCTCCCCTGCCCACAGTCTAGGGAGGCCAGCAGCTGGCAAGGGGGGTGGGCCTGGGACTTTCCCAGCCAGCTCACTGGGCTGCAGGTGGGGTGGAAAAGTTCCCCTACGAAGGCTTCCCCATGCAGATGCTTGCTGTGGGGCCGGTGCCTGGCTGGGGCATGCATTCCCTCCTTGTCCTGCCTCTCAGAGACCAGTGGCTGGCGAGGAGCTGGGGCTTTCCCAGCTGGCTCTCAGGGCTGTTGGTGGGGGAAAAGCCACTTCACAGCCCTCCCCTCCACGCCATGTAGACTCCTGCTGGGGGGCTAGTGCTGGTCCAGGATGCATTTCTCCTTTGCCTCTTACCTCTCAGAAAGGCACGTGGCTGGTGAGGGGGTGTGGCTGGGGAGAGATTGGCTGCTGGATACATGCCCCCACCCATTGCAGTCAGCCGCAAGGGAGGGAGGGAGCCAGCAGACAGGCATGGGCTGCTGATTGGCTGGGTTTGGCAGCCGTTGGCAGTGTCTGATATGAAGGGAGTCACGTGTTAGTACCTCCAAGCTTCTGTCCTTGGCCAGTGCAGGCTTCTGTCTGCTTTGGCTACCAGAAAACTGAATGTCAGTTCAGTTTGTTATTGATCCAATCTATGCAATTTAGACAAACCTGTTAAGATTGAATTGATTCCACCTTAGGTTTTCTGAACCTCTGTACTTAGCCCTTGAGTCTAGACAGTAAAGTCACTCTAGCTTTACTGAAAGAAAAAGTTGAAATAAAACTGAGGATTCATTTTGAAGTCAAGACAGAAATATTAATTAGATAAGAAACAGGTATGTGTTCTTTCCAAATCTCCTTTAAAATGTTAAAAGTTTCATAGTTTCATAGTTGGTAGGGCCGGAAGGGACCTGAGCAAATCATCAAGTCCGACCCCTTGCCATGGGCAGGAAAGCATGCTGGGGTCAAATGACCTTAGCTAGGTGATTATCTAGCCTCCTTTTGAAAACCCCCAGGGTAGGAGCGAGCACCACTTTCCTTGGAAGTTGGTTCCAGATCCTAGCCACCCTGACTGTGAAGTAGTGCAACCTGATATCTAGTCTGAATCTACTCTCAGTCAACTTATGGCCGTTATTCCTTGTTACTCGCAGTAGTGCTCAGGGTAACAGGGACTCTTCCACTGCCTGCTGGCCCCCTTTGGCCAGTTTGTAGATGGCCACCAGATCCCCTCTCAGCCTTCTCTTGTGGAAGCTGAACAGGTTTAGGTCCCATAGCCTCTCCTGATCGTGTGAGTGGTCCTCCTCTGGACCCTCTCGATGATGACCACATCTCTCCTGAAGTGCAGCACCCAGACCTGGACATAGTACTCTAGCTGCGACCTGACCAATGTTGCATAGAGGGGGAGGATCACCTCCTTGGACCTGGTCGTGATGCATCTGTGGATGCATGATAAGGTGTGGTTAGTCTTCCTGACTGCATCTTCACATTGGCAGCGCATGTTCATCTTGGAATCACTAATGACCCCAAGATACTTTTCTGCCTCTGCTGACAAGAAGAGAGTTCTCCAGTCTGTAGGTATGCTGCTGGTTCTTCCTCCCCAGGTGCATCACCTTGCACTTGTCAGTATTGAAACCCATCCTGTTCTCATCCGCCTACCCCTGTAACCTGTCCAAATCTAGTTGCAGCTTGTCACTCTCCTCTAGCGTGACCACTTCTCCCCACATCTTAGAGTCATCCATGAATTTGAATAAGGTGCTTTTCACCCCCTCATCCAAGTTGCTGATGAAGATATTGAACACTGCAGGCCCAAGGACTGAACCCTGGGGAACCTCACTGCCTTCATCCCTCCAGGTTGAAAATGACCCGTCCACCACCACTCTCTGAGTGCGGCTCTCCAGCCAATTTGCAGTTCATCTGACTGTGTAGGCATCGACACCACAGTTGCCTAATTTTTTAATGAGAATGGAGTGAGAGACAGTGTTGAAGGCCTTCCTAAAGTCCAGAAAGACTACATCCACTGTGACACCTGCATCCAAGGATTTTGGACTGGGTCATAGAAGGCCACCAGGTTGGTCTGACAGGACCTGCCTCTAATGAACCTATGTTGGTTGCCCCTAAGCATAATCTCGCCTGCTGGTCCCTCGCAGATGTGCTCCTGGATAATTTTCTGAAAGAGCTTTCCCAGGTCCGAGGTAAGACTAACAGGCCTATAGTTTCCTGGGTCCTCCTTCCTCCCTTTTTTGAAAATGGGGACCACATTGGCCCTTTTCCAGTCTTCTGGCACCTTGCCAGAGCATCACGAGTGC